TCAGGGACCTCTACTGCAATCTTTTATTTTATCTTATTTTAATGGGGATGGTTGGGATTCATTTTATTTTATTATCTTTCAGAGGGTTACTCTGGATGTTTCAATGTATTGTTTTCATTTTTTAAAATTATTATTATTGTAACACATACATTTTAGTGCATTTGACAACCGTACTATAAGCTGGTAAGGGTCTTTACACTGCAGAGGATAGGAATCCAATAAATAAATAAACAAATAAAATTTGCACGTGAAGTCAGAAAATAAAATTCTAGCTAAATAAAACTGGAAAAAATATGCAGGCAGCTGTATGCTCTCTGGAAAACCTAGGGTTGCTTTTGTATATTTTGTAAAGTGTGTCCTAACAGAGGCATAAATCAAGTCCCCTCTCCAAGCTACCTTGAAAGCTTCCAGAGAAGTGAGCAAACTGAGTAAAAATACTAGAAAAAAAGAAAGCCCCTTTTAAATCTGTTAAGAGAATTATAATTTGGTGCATTATAAAGGCACTTCCTAAGCAACAAAATCTTTGCAGGAATCAGCATAAAATGATACCAAACCTACTAATAATCATGCCTTTATACTCACTGCCACTTCTCTTTCTCTTTCGCTGTATTAAAAAAAGGTGGGGAAAACATCTGTCCATATTAGTTTTGAGTTGCTAACTTCACACTGGGGAGACTGGAAATCCAAGATGAAACCTCAATTGTTCACTTTCTGACATCCCCTCATTTGTTTTCTGCTCAGCTCAGATGATTTGTTAACGTTCCTTTCATACTTGAAGAAAATAAGCAGAGCCCTTGGCCTTACACTGGAAACAGAAAGATGCCACAAGGGCTTGCAACCAGAGTCACTTTTCCAGACATGATTTTGCTCAAATTATGCCATTTAGAGACAAAGCACAGTGAAAGCAATAAAAATAGCTTCAGCTTGATAAATGGTACAAGAGCCTCTCGACAGTCTGTAGTTGTCACCTCTGACCTAGAGAACATCCTTTCAAACCTGAAGTGCCCTCTGGAGACCTGGCGTTCCTTGTAATTATTTACCATCTTCTGAACAGACCTGCTGGGATCTGTACACAGTAAAGCCTCAATTCCTGAATGAACTAAAACCATAGCAACCCTTTATTTCCTTTGGACATGTTTCGTTTGCCCTCGCAGGGCTTAATAACTTGAGCTCATGTAAAAGGTGAGTTACTAGCACCTGCTCTCACATGAGATGAGTCTTTTAATTTAAGGGCACATTCTGACAAGGCACTTGCCTCTCAAGATTAGCTATCATCCTCCAACTAACTGCAAAAGACACCCCGAGTAATTGAAAGACACTTTTCAAACTGTTGGACTAAGGCAGAGAGGCCCGGGGATTAGAAGCAGTCCTATCCCACACATCCACTAAAGACACACAACAAATTACAGCACAGCGGCTTTGAGCAGTAAAGGTTTTGGTCTAACCATAAGCTAAAAACATTACTGAAGAGAACAGTGAGGCCAACTTCAGTTTCTCTGAGGTTGTTAAGAAAACCTCTAAGCATTGTACCATCATTCATAGTTTTTTGGATTAAGCAAAAATGCCTTTAACTGTATTTAGCATGCCCCAAATCTGGGTAGCAATCAGACTTGGAGATAACAGTATAAAGGGATTAAAAAAACAAACAAACTGTGTGTCTATGAGCATTTATATAGCACTTTGTTTGTTTGTTTTTAAATAAGCAAGTAAGTTCTCATGTATATTAATAATTTTAACAGACCAATAAAAATGGTCACAGCTACAGTATGTGAAACTTTACTGTTCAGTATAGGATCCTTCAAATCTTAGAATCAAGTTCTTTATACAAGTAGTCTGTCCAATGTCAGAAGGTAGGAAAGCCTATCTTGATCTACCTTCACCCAATTAGTCTAAGCTTCTCTGACAGTGACAATACTAAAAACAACGCAACCAGAACTGGATTCAGAACTTCCATTAATTTGATACAGTAATTAAGAAAGGATGAAATAACTTGTAGTAAGGTTAAACTGATGCATGATGCTTGTCTTCCACTTATTAATAAGAAGAAAACAAAGAGCAACCCATGAGTGCGTTGGGAGTTTCTGAAAGAGAAAATATGTCTAGCGAGAAAAATACCAGAACTGACTATTTCTGCAAGGTCCATATGCTCATGGTGCAATTTTTACTTTTTTAAAAATACGTGAAGCGTGTTTTCTCTGAGACCTTGATTTGTCACGGCTGAAAGTAAAGGGCCTAAGAGCAAACAGGACAATTATGAAAATGGAGCACTGGTAGATCCATAACCAAGGCCAGGAGATAAGAGCAGAGAAGTCCATTATCATGTAAAGATGAGAGAAAAAACTCTGGAGCAGTTTTTTTATATATAGAGAAGGCTTGATCGCTATATTCGGCAGTAGTTGATCTTCTTTGTTATTAGGGCACCTTGCATCTGCAATAAAAACATCGGATCTATCTGAGTCATGTCCCTGACTCTTCCACAATTAGCTCTGGAAGACTGGTTGAGTTTCCACAGCAAGATTGATGGCTATATCCCGGGTGAAGTTCTGACATTCTTCATTTGCAAAACATGAAATGCCAATTTTGGTTTGATCTGATGGTTAAACATTGAATGCTAACTAGTCATTTCTTATTACTTCATCCTTTACTACTTAAATGCCTTTATTACTCAAGTATGAATCCAATGACTGGAATGCCTATTTTAAGACATTTAAATTCTCCAGAGAATGACTTCCAGAAAATTTGGCCTTGTTTCCTGAAAGTCTATGATTTAAGTCAAATACTTGGGATGGGAACTGAATATAAACATTATTCAAATATGTCAGAAACTTTTTTTCTCTTTTAACATCACAGACAGGGAAGATACCGTTCTATAAATAATGCACGGCAAAGCTTCAACAAAATGACCTTGGAAGAAAATGCAAACATACAACGCATAATTTCTGGACTTCTCCTCCTAGTAATGTATGAATCAAACTAATTTAACAGGATTCTTTGCATTCCTTTTTAAGGTTGATTTTCCTGTATAATCCCACCCATAATGTCAAACAGATGTCACCAAAGGACCTTGTAAATAATGATAGAAGCTGCAGACCTATTCTATAATTGAAAGGTAGTGCAACTGGTCCTTTTGTTTTAATTGCCCAGTCAAAGGATAAAACCGTTCTTCATAGTTTTGCAAGTGTAGCTAAATAGCTGGTCAACGGCTTGTTTTCATTCCACTTCCTACAAAATGCAGGAAACCTTACTTAAACTACTATTGACAATATACAGTAAATTGTGATTGGAAATCCAGGAAAGACAATCCCAATAAAACGGCACTTTGTAACTTTCAAGCTTTCATTCTTGTATGATAGATACAGTTGGAAATTTTGTGGAAAAGAACGTATTGCTAAAAGAACATTGTTAGCTTTTCTAGACAAACCTTTCTAATAATCACATTTGCTAGAGTTATTCTGGCTGGAAAAACTATCCACTAGAAACAGAGATGGGAAATTTGAGGATGCTAGCTTGATCCTATTAATGTATTGGGAGTCATTCATATACTGAGGCTGTCAAGTTGTCAACAGTATATATCTATTTGATAGATAGATAGATAGATAGATAGATAGATAGATAGATAGATAGATAGATAGATAGATAGATAGATAGAATAGATATATAATATTAATGTATCCAGGATACAGATGCATATCTGCACAGATTCTTATGTAGATGAACCTTTTATGAATCAGAATAAAATACTGTTAAG